TTCCTTCTCTACTAACCGAGAGAGGAATGGGTGAATCTGCTGGTACAGCTTTCTTTCTTTCCTTCCCCGTTTCCCTCTCATGTTTTCTCCAGTGGCAGCGAGGCGGCCACTTTGGTGGCGGTGGTGGTGGCCGTGGCCGATCAATTTGCTTATTGTTTTAGTGGGCTGTGTTGTTTGCTTTGTTCGGTTCGCTTCTTTTGCTTTTGGTTTGCTTTGCTCCTTGTTTTGTGCTTTTCCTTTGCTTAGTGAGATTGCCTTTAGCTTTTTACTGGTTTTGTTTGGTTTTGTGGTGGNGGCTGTGTTGTTTGCTTTGTTCGGTTCGCTTCTTTTGCTTTTGGTTTGCTTTGCCCCTTGTTTTGTGCTTTTCCTTTGCTTAGTGAGATTGCCTTTAGCTTTTTACTGGTTTTGTTTGGTTTTGTGGTGGTTCCCTGTTGCAGGTTCTCAGAGAAGAGAATTTCAGGGCACATTCATTTCATTTCAAAGCAAATCTTATTATTTTGTTTTATTGAAAGAAGAGGAGAAAACATGCCGATCAGCTTTCTCACTTAGAAGAGAAGCCGAAGAGGAATAATTTTGAATAATTTTCGCAGACGGAAACAAACACAAAAAATGAGCCGTTAATTACCTACACCAGTTTTTTCTGCTGCTGCTGGTGAGCGCTAATTTTCTCGCTTCTTCGCTTCTTTTTCTTCTTCTTACTATTTTTAGTTATTCGAGGCTTTTTGTTATTATTAATTTTCTGTCTATAATGCTGCTGCTGCTGCCTCGATGATAAATGAGCTAGGCCCCACCAGCTTTTCAGGCTCCCATTTACATACCTAATTGTCTAATAATAGCTGCTGCTGCGGCTGTGGGTATTAACAGGAATTGAGAGAAAGCTCAAATGCTTTGGAAATATTATTAGCATTGGTGGTGGTGGTTACCCCTATCCCACTGGCTCGTTTACCTTTTCCTCATTTCATTTTCTTCTCATTTTTACCCCCTCCTCACCACAAAACATTTTTATTATTACGGCCTGTGCTCCTGCTCCTCATCATCATCATGAATAAATGATGATGCCCATGTCTGCTGCCCTGCTTGGCTGCTGCTGCTGTTGAAATATTAAACAACAACAACAACAACAAAAATAACCACACAACACTGCTGCCATTTTTAATCATCTGCTTTTCATTATTTTCATTTACCCTCCCCTATCAAAAAAATAATACAGAAAAATCCCGCCACCATTCGCCAGGCGGAACTGGACCACGGCTCGGCGCTGTACAACATGGACCTGAAGCTAAAAGATGAAGGAGAAAGGGATTATCCGGAAGGCAGCAAATTATCATCTTCAAATTACGATCTTCATCTCCTCAGTCCTCACCTGCGCAACTTTTGCGAGCACGCTCAGGGACGGGTGTACGCCAGCGAGGAGGACCTGCTCAGGTGGAAAACGTCATCAGTTAGTTCTGAAGGCAGCAGTCCTGGTAAGTGTCAATGTTTTTGGGTAGTTTTTGAGCATGGTTTCTATTTTTAAAATCAGTTGGAAATTAGGACGTTGTGGTGGTGGGCTCGTTAATTAGACAGGTGTAGGTGTTGGTGTTGGTGTCACATAAATCAACCAAAAGGGAGGAATGATAATCAGCTCAATGATTACAGTGTGTTTTATTGTCAGAATTATGTTTGTCAGTCAGAGAGGGAGAAATGTCTTCTTTTCAAAGAGAGACACCTGCCAGTGCACCAATTCCCTCTACTTGCTCTTTCCCTTTGCAATTAAAAATTTTGTGCCATTCTTGACAGCTGAAGGAAATGAAAAGAAAGAATGAAGACACAACAACAAATGTTGCACCAGCAATTCTCGCCAACTGTCTGTTTTTCCATTTCAGCAAACAAGAGAGAGACTATTCAAAAGCAGAAACAGTCAGGCAATTATCGATTTGAGTGAGAGAAAGAGAAGAGGATCTAGGCGCCCTTTGTATTTGCTGTTGGTGTTCCAGCAGCAGCAGCATTTGCTAGGCTGGTGGATTATTTATTGTTTGCACACTGTTGGAATAGCAGCAAAACAAGAGAGCATTCACTCACTCTTACTCTCATTCTCTCTCTCTTTAATGACATTATTAAGAGCGGATTAGCGAGAAAACTAGCAGGCAAGCAAGCAAGCACTGGGGGAACACTTTGCCAGCGAGAGTCAGAGAGTGAAAGTGAAAGAGAAGTGAAAGGAAAGGGAGAGAGCTAACAAATGCATACTAATTTGCCTAAATGACACTCACTCACTCACTTTCAACCAAAAGCTTCGGCTCGGCTCTTGTGTTGTCTAGTCTGCAAAAGTGTGCTGTTAGTTTAGGGCTCTTTTATTTTCCTTTTTCCCTCTCCCTCTTTCACCCTGATTTGATGGATTCCAGCCGTTTAGAAGGAGAACGACGACCAAGACCAGAACTAACTAGAATCAGGCAGGCCGGAATCGATCAATAGTCAGAGCACTTTTCACCCACTTTGAGCCCAGCCTTGTGTATTTCTACTGGCAAGTCTTCACGGACAGATTGCCTTCAATTGATCGAGGAGAGTAGAGAGAGAGAGAGAGAGAGAGAGAGAGAAAAGAGTGGAAGAGATTAGATCACCTTTTTCTTTTTTCCACTTCTCTTCAGCTTTAGCTCTTTTATTTTTTCTTCCAGCGCTTGAACTCTTGCGCTCCACTGAGGAGAAGAAAAAATGGTGGTGGTGGTAGGGTGATAATAATAAATTAACTTAATGATTCTGAATCTCTCGCTTTCTTTTGCTTTCTCTCGTTCTCTTCTGGTTCATTCTGGTATCCGTCAGCGTCTCTGTCCTTGTTGCCGCCGCCGCTGCTTTGAAGGCTGACTGATATTAATGAGGCTTCAAGTGGTGCTGGTGGTGGTGCTGGTAATCTCACTGAGTAATTTGTCAGCGGCAAAAAGGTTGAGGCAAATGGGTTGAGAGGGAGAATGAGAAGAAAGAGAGGAAAGAGGTAAAGGACTGCAGCAGCTGCAGCTGCAGCTGCCACTTTAATTTAGCTTATGAGCACTTTGTTTCAGCCCCAGTTCTATTTAGGTGCTTTCTGGTTCAGTCTTCTGATTAGGCAAATGAAGCTGCTGCTGCGCTGCTGAATTTATGTCTCATTTTGGCGCTAATCCGTTTCTCCTCTTTCTTTCTTTTGGTACAGGAGGTTCAGCAGCAGCTCGAAGCTTCGCCAACGTCTCCTCGCTCTTTAGCAGGCTGAATCCGCCGCCTTCTGCACAAAATTCTTCAAGTTCAGCAGCACTTTTTGTGCCGGAGTTTCGACAGTGCGGCGAGCTGCTGGCGAAGCTCTACCAGAACTTTAGCAGCAGCAATCAAAACTCATCTTCTTCTTCACTTCCTCTTGGTCGATCTTCCGACGAAGCTTTGGCTCGCCACTTTCTGGCCGCCCACCAGGGCGAACTCTGCCACTGCTCCCTCTCGCTGGTGCTGCCCTTCTACCCGTGTTCGGTACGGCACTGTACGGCACCTGATCCAGCAAATCCGGGGAAGGTGGTCAACTACCGTTGCGGAATCCGCACCTGCCGACGGCGGTACGAATTTCGCTTTGCCGTCGCCGATAAGCTCGCTTGCCTAGCGGACTTTGATCCCACCGTGAAGCTGTCTGATTCTGCTGTTGATGGTTCTGTTGATCTTCAGAAGGAGGTGGTCGATGAGGAGAGGATGGCGAACAATCCTCAGGAGGCAGATGGTAACGGCAAGGACACTGGTGATGGAGAGGCGGATCCACCGCTGGCTGATAACTCGGTGGCTGCCAATTCAAAGCAGGTGTAAAAACTCGAATCTTTCTCGCTCGGAGTTTTCTGTCAACAAAGTGTCTTTCCTTCTCAAATCAGCCGTCTTCCTCGACCCTCGAAGTTTTTATGTTTACGTTCCCGATCAAATGTATGCTGGTCACCCGATGAATGAATAAAGTCATTTTATTTTCAAGTGTACTATTGTTTACTTGCTGTACAAATTGCTGGAAATGAGAAAAAGAATCTAAAGAATCCTTGCGTTTTAAAAAATCCAAATGTCTTCAGAACTTTTTGCAGAACACATCTCTTGTAGTCCCGCCATCTGCTAGCGGAAAAAGGAACTAGACTAAACTTCGTGACTATTTCGATCCAGTCACGGCAATTGGCGTCCTATCGGGTCAAAACGGCGGCTGGCGCCTGTCACTTTCTCTTTGTGTTTTGGATCAGCTTCAGCTCCCGCTGAAGTTACCACTTTCTACTGAACTCCCGATCCAACAGCATTTAAACAGTTCCAGGACAATTGAAGACACCCGAGGACACTGATCACCATGAGCCAGCAGCAGCCGGTGGACATGGCATCTACCGCCAGCACAGCATCGTCGTCGTCCACCGCAGGTGGTGCTTCAAGCACTCCAATCACCACCACCGATAATGTGCCAATTACCAACGCGTCGCTTCTGCTTCTTCAGCAGCAGCTATCTTCCGATGGTACATTAGCGACGACCACACCTTCAGCAGCAGCAGCTGCAGGATCTTCAGCAGCGGCTCTGGCGGCCGCTTGTCAACTGCCACTTTCACCAGGCCCGCTGACAATTGCCGATACATCGCCGCCAGCTGAGACGACAACTTCCATCAACAACAACAGCAGCAACCTTGGTGGAACAGTTGCCACCGCGGGCACTGCTTCCACTGTCACCACCAGGTCGAACTCCATCTCCATCATGGCTGCGGATCACCACCACCACAGTCACCATCATCACCACCACCANTTCACCAGGCCCGCTGACAATTGCCGATACATCACCGCCAGCTGAGACGACAACTTCCATCAACAACAGCAACAACAGCACTAGTGGAACAGTTGCCACCGCGGGCACTGCTTCCACTGTCACCACCAGATCGAACTCAATCTCTATCATGGCTGCGGATCACCACCACCACAGTCACCATCATCACCACCACCACCAACGGTCACCATCGCTGAGCAATGGCAGCGGTGGTGGTGGACATCACCTGGAGGCGGTAGCAATGGCCTCCGCATCCTTGGCCGCCGCCGCCGCCGCCGCCAACGTCGCCAACGGTGCCGCCGGTGGCCAGCCGCCCACGGTGGACCACTGCAACCGGGCGGAGGGCTTCCACGACGGCCTCCGGCCGCTGCCGCTGAACTACGACACCGAGGAGGACTTTGTCTCGGACAGCGCCGAGCTGGAGAAGCTGGAGAACTGCGCCTTCCAGTCGCGCCTCCCCATGGACGCCATGAACGAGGAGGAGGTGTTCGGCTTCCGCGACATGCTCGACGAGCAGGATGCGGAATTCCTGCCGCTGTACCTCCTCCTGCGCAACAGTATTCTCCGCCTCTGGTACCGCAATCCAAAGGTAGGCAATGCTGTTCTATTTGCTGCTGTTCTATTTACTACAGTGCTCTAAACCTTTCACTAACAGGACCAGCTGCTTTTCGCCGACGTCATCAATCACATCGCAGCGATGGGCGTCGACCAGGTTTACGAGCAGTATATGAGAGACTATCCGTACCTCCTCTGGCGCGTCTACGCCTTTCTCCAGCGACAAGCCTACATTAACTTTGGCATCTTCGCGATGAGCACCGACGAGCCGGACTGCCACTTTAAGCTGGGGCAGAGCAAGCCCAAGCGACGGCCGAAGGTGATCATCCTGGGGGCGGGCATCGCCGGCATCATCGCCGCCCGCCAGCTGCAGTTCTTTGGCTTTGAGGTGTTTGTCCTTGAGGCACGGAATCGAATTGGCGGCCGCGTCTGCACGTACAAGCAGGGGGAGCACATTGCCGATGTGGGCAGCACGGTCATTTGCGGCCTGGGCGGCAATCCACTGCGCGTCCTGGAGAAGCAGATTCCGGCAATGAAGCTGAAGCGAATTGGTCAGAAGTGCAACCTCTACCTGAACAATGAGCTGATCGACCGGAGCAAGG